GGGGGGGGGGGGGGGGGGGGGGGGGGGGGGGGGGGGGAGAATCTTTCTTTTTTAATGCTGAATCTCTATCCTGGGAGATTCGAGATTGAGCCGATTCGAATACCAGACTAAAAAGCAATATTTCTCCATTGAAAGGGATTCGACACGGGGCGCTTAAGATGAGGGATTTTCGACATTAGGAATTCCGTTCGCACGCACACGCCCCCAGCGAGATGGGAGCACGAAAGATAAGACGAACAAGTTTTATCTTCCTTCCTTGCGTCATCAGATCGTTCAAGGTCTTCCCTGATTGCATGTCGCATTGGGCAATACAAGTGCAGCACCGTGTCAAGGTGCAAAAACAAACAGCTCAGCGGAGCTTCCTTTGAATCTATCATCGTATGTGATACAGGCGCAATCGTGCCGGGCGCGAAGAGGTAATGAAGAATAATAAAAAAAAAAGCCCGATTGTCAGGAGGCGGCGCGTGTGCGATAAGGTACCTGGTTGGCACGGGGGAAAATTAAATGCAAAACCAAATTTATTCAGAGCGGAAATTGTACGACGTTTAGGGCAGTCGGATTCCAATATTGACGGTCGGGCGGCACCATTACATACGCAGCTTCTTTTCTTTCTTAACAGGCGACTAGTTAAAAGATACCCCAGCCTGTTTCTTCTTTCTCCTGATTAAGCGACGCCGTAGCAGTAACAAGGACAAGGTGCATTAAAGGGGTCACACGAATTATTGCGTCATCCTCGATCACCTTCCAAGCGACTGGCTATGTGCTTAGGAATGACAGCTCCGGTTCTTCCAGGACCTTCAGGTTTAATAAGCCCGAACCTGTACGGATAAACATTCTTTTGTCTCGCCGTAGTTAGCTGCCCTCAATAATTTTACGTCATTACTCGATATCTTAATGAAGTGGCGCAACCATGACTAGCGATTTTGTCCATGATGGGATTTAAACTCCCCAACCCCCCATCCCCGGAACCCTAAATCCATGATCCCTAATGACAATGAAAAATCCTGGCTGCGCCAATATACTGATATCAGTGAGACTCCCTTCAATGGAGAAATGAACGCTGTTTTTACTTTCTTCTGAACGGGGAAAATTTTCAGACTAAAAATTGATAGGACAAGCTCCTTGGCTTTGCCATACGATCGAAAAAATATATTCCCAACAACATTGCTCCACACCCTTAAATGAAAAGCGTTATCCCCATCTGAGCTTATCTTGCCCTCATAGACGTCCTCAAAGGCGTTTTCTTGTTCGTGGTCATCATCCCACACATCTGGAAGGGAAGGTGAAACATACACAAATCTATCTTGGGAAATGCCAGGTCAGTTGGCTTTGAATTTCGCTATCGTCACCATTGTCTAACACAGCAGGCTTCCTTCCTCAAGAGAACTGCAGAGGAACCAAGCGTGAAAGAAGGAAAAAACCAAAAACAAAATGGCAATGGGGAGCAAAACTTCATAGTTTCACATGAGAAACTTGCAGCCAAGCTAGTACAACACCTATAAGATGTTTCTTCACTCATGTCCATACCAAGATCCCTAAGTGGGATTTGAAAGTCAACAGAGAAATTCATGGATAAAAGTATGTTGTGGACATGGTGAGGAAGCCAATGCTCCAGCTACCAAGAGATATGAAGGTGTGATACCTGGAAACACATAAAAAAAATTCACAACCCAACTCCTCCATGAATAAACTTTCAAACATAACTTCAATATTACAATGCCCAAAAAGATTTTCTTATCACATCCATCTGTATTCATAAATTAAAAGGACAATGTAGAAAATTGAATTTTTTGGCTCTTAAATTAGATTCAAATATATAATAATCATACCTACAATGTCACCATTTCAAGCACAGACCACCCACCATGAGAGATGTATACATATCACATCAAGATTATTCAACATCTCACATAAATCTACCATCTTCAAACCATCACCATCATCAAGAATTTGTCGTGTTCTTCTATGCCATCACATCTTGAGCTACAACATAGGATTGGTGCAAGCTGCATGTTATCACTGAAGAAAATATTCTTTGAACATTTTCAATCAGGGGGTATAAACAGCGTTGACACTGCAAATCCCAGGAAGACAAATCCACCAACAATGGTAACTGGAAAGAGAAAACAAAAGTATTTAAGCACCTGTTATTAAATAAGGAGACATTACCAGGGAAATAAATGAGTCCAAACCTGTTTTGACTGAGATCCTTTGAGCAATTATTCGACCTCCAATCACAGCTAAGGCAGTGCAGAGTGCATGCCCACATACACCTCCTACTGTCACACCCCATACATTCTAAGGTGAAAACAAAAATTTGTATATGATTAAGAAATGTTTCATGACCACCACAAGAATGGGCTCATGGAACTGAGAGAAGAAATCTCACATCTCTTGCTGCCAAGATTATGGTGGCCAACTGCGAGCGATCACCCCATTCAGCCAGGAATGTAAGGGTGAAAGCTTGAAGAAGGATCCTTGACACAAAGGAGAGGAGTTTCTGAGATGGTCGCAAGGGTCCACCACCCCCTTCAAGATCTATACATTCCTATATCAGAATCAAGATATAAAAAATGGAGATAAGCAGTGGTACTTTTTACAAAAGTTCAAAAGGCCTTTGGAATAAAGGTAAAAAGGTCAACCTCCTCTTTCTTCCGGAGATCTGACTGAACCTCCTCAAACTCTTCCTGTCCTTCATTTGAAGACATGCTGATCCCTTCCTTCAGCATCTTGATGCCAAACAAGGCAAACAAGGCAGCAGATGCATAATAGGTGTATACTCTTGGGATGACAGTTGTAGAATATCCAAGCAGAGCTTCAATGCACAAATACATCATGATTAACCCCTTAACAGTCACACCCAAGTATATTTGTGCGGACACAGCCTTTCTTGATTCTCATCTGCATCATTTTTTACTGTAAAGTAGTCTCAGCATATACCAGAATGAAATTTAATGATTTTATGAACATTTGATTGAAAATAAATTGTTTTAGATTGTTGGAACAAATATTTGAAAATAACAGAAAAAAACTCTACATAGGAGATGTAAAGTCTACTTTGAAACTCAATCACTCAATGACAATTAAGGGGCTAATGAATGCACTTTAGAATTCTATGATAATGGTCATGAAACCACAGAAGTTGTGAGACATACCAGACAAGATCGTCATGAAGGTGAGAGCAAGCATAGCTCCAGAAAACACTGTCAATCGAGAGTGCTTCATGGCCATAATTGCAGCAATGAAGAATGTCTTATCGCCTAGTTCTGAAATGATGATCACGGAGAGAGAGGCCAGAAAGCCATGGAAGAAACCAGCACCAAGTCCACCTATTGTATTAGGAGCCATTGAATCGGTCTCGTTGGAAGTTACAGCCAAACTTCCCAGAGCCTATAAAATAAAAATACAATTAAAATGTTGCACATGGGACCAGCCATGCAAAACATAGTTAATCATAAGGGTACATGGCACTCAGAGAATCCATCCAAGAATGTACAGGAAAATGGATATCATGCAAGATGCATTTACAGTATGCAGAAAAAGTCAGAAGACAAAGGACACTATAAGGATTATGTAATAAACCAAGCAAAAGAAATGAGAGATGTTCTTCCAATCACAGTCACTTCCCATTCACTTTCAACATTCAAATTACAATTTACATTCAAAAGAATAAATGACTTAAACAAATCAAGCAGCAAATTTTAAAATTTTCATTTAAGCAAATTAAATTAATTAAATGGAGAGTTAATTCTTTAGAACATAAAGAATTTTGCAAAGAACAAAATAAAAACTGATACATAAAAATCCCTGACAAAAATAGTAGCTACTTGTAATGCAGGTACCCCAACAGATCAGACTATCTTCAATGCTCCCTCTGAGTATTTCTGACATAACTTTTTAGGCTGGCACAACAAATAAAACTGGTTCAAGCCATCATATTTGTTGGATGGATTTATTCTTGATTGCTTCTGGAAGTTTGTCCCATTCTGTTGGTAAACTGTGTCAATAGAAGTGGATATTTTGTATTTTGGGTATCTGCTGTTACCTATTAAAATGCATAAAAACAGAAGAAATGTTCTTAATTTTCTATTCTGCAAAACTGTAAATAATATTCTGAAATGAATTCCCTGTCATCTATTTCCAAACAAAAATGCATCCAAGTTACTTTTAAAGGAGAAAATAAAAAATATCCACTTCAACTAATGCCCAGTGTATTTAGTGATTCTGAAGCACATTGAATGGTAGCTGGTAGGAGGATCCCATGAAGCAGTTCTCCCCATGGTTGACCAAACTCACCACCATCTGCATGCCATCATTTTCTAGAAGAGATGATCCACAGCTGATGCTTGTCTAGATGAAATCTCCAGAGTTTTGGAAACCAAGCCCCTTTGTGTGCAATGGTGTCCAACTGATTCTATCTATTCCAGCACAGGAAAAATGATTGAAGATTATTCCCAATCTGAGCACCCTTTGATAGCAGAGACTCTATCAAGCACTGAACTGCTGCAGTTGCTGATAAAAGGAAGTTCCTCATCCAAGAAGATCCCTATGGAAGATCCTTATCAGCAAGTGCACCATATCAATGTTTGGTTGAGTCATTAATGTATTAGTGACACCCAGATTTGGACTTGTCTTCAATATCATTTTTCCCTCAAAGAGGCAGTCCCATTTGAACACCATTGCATTTTATTGAGCTAGGTATAAAAAAAAAGAAAGAAAAAAGCCAGGACATTTCATCTTAGCAAGCATCCTCTGAGGCAAGAATCACCATCTCTTACAAGTGTTTTTTTTTTAATTTAAAACAAGACTGCATAAAGAAAATTATGAATAACTCATGGACAGAAATTGCAGTTCACAAGATGTCATTACCTGCTTCCACTCCAAGTGCTCTAATAACCTAGCGGAAGTCCATTTAATAAGTGATTGGGAAGAATCTCAATCATTTTTATTTGTAGGTGAAAAGTCTGCAAACTTTCAGAGCCTCATAACTTTATATTTTTATCTGATCTTAAAAAATCTTTCAAATTGTGTCCATTTCTGTGTTGTGTAGACTTACTTTATGAACATGTGCTAGAAAATTGGAGATGATAAAAGAGACAGGGTTCTTTGCATTTTCTGCAAAGATTGCACTGTAAATTAGGAAGCAGACCTTAAGAAAGTTCTCCATGCTTCACTAGGAAATTCAAACCACAGGTTAGGCATACCATCTTGACTAAGAAGTGAGTCAGCAAGGAAACGACTCTCTGAACATCTACTATTCAACCATGTCTTCTTACTTTCATCATGACAATGCTATTCTACTTTATGAAACCAGTTAGTCATAAGCTGAGCTCTATCATAGTTGAACCATGTAGAAGAAACATGTAGAAGAAACATACTGGGTAGAGCAAAAAAAAGACAAATGTCTTTTAACCTATATATCCCTGTTCCCACTGGAGCTATTTTCACAACACTTGCAATGTGCACGTATTGCTCACTTGAAATGTCAATCAAATGGATATTACTAAAGTAAGGCAATGAGTAATTATTCAAAAGAAATTGGAAATTTAAGAAACAGACAGAGGCTCCAATTCCATCCAAGTGCTTCATCCCCCTGCCTTATTCTCTAATGCAAAGCAAGGGAAAATCTGAATAAGCTTTGAGCAAGCTCTCTGCTTGGATACTAATTGATTCATCACACACTGATTAGAATAAAGCTCATCAAAACCATCTCCAAGATCTCCAAGAAATTTCCAGCATAAAAAAATGAATTTTGATGGAAGAGAAGCTGGATGTGGCCTGGATGCCATACAAGTAGAGCACTTGGGTGTGTCCTCCATTCCACTACTCCACTCCAGTCCACTTCCATGAATAAACTTCTTTTAAATCATTGCCCATAGTCTTGCCTCAGAACATTAAATTTGGAGGAAAAATGAACTTTGATAAGTTAGAAACATATCCTTCTATGCACTGTGGGGGTTTAGTGAAAACAGATCAAGTGGGATCAGAGATTTATTGGTTAAAAGTCATTGGCTTGGCAGAAAAAAGACTATATAAATTTAGTTTTTGTGAAGAATTAACATTTGCCTATATTTTAGAGCCACAAAGCTACATGTATGTTCTTAGTCTATGACTGAAAATAAATATTACATGAAATGGGACAGGGATCTGAAGCTCTACAAGATTAAAAATATCTCACCGTATCTTGGGTATCTTGGGGCTCTTGAGGAAACACTGACTCTTTCTCAGCAAACACATAAGCATAAGGGGGGAAAAAGCATACTGTCACTATTGCACAGAATTGGAGAAGACTGTAGCTGTGACTTCTCACTTGTGATGGGCCAAACATTTTGACTTCAGTGCAATAAACTCCAAACACAATGATCCACAGGATCAAGAATGAATCAATAATAGTTCGTTCACAGGAACAATTAAAAAATGCAGTCCATCACTGGCAGGCTCTCATGCATCAATAAGTAGCAAATGATGAAAATTATCCAATCCAGCTGGCACTTCAATTCAGAGGTAGAGTATGGCAGTAGAAGTCCACATGATAGACTTGGACTGAGATAGAAATAGCAATGGTGCTTTCGCTTGAGTAAAGGGTATGCATCTGGGATCCAGGTGAATTTGCAACTCAATTTCAATGCTTCACAATGAAGCCAATCTTCAAGATACTGCAACTCATGCTGGCATCAAAATGCTGTTTGTGAGATCCAGTGAAAGACTGCAGATGTCACCATGAGAGCTGATCCGAGAGCACCTCTGAGACCGTGAGCCTAAAACTTAGGCTCACTGGCAGCATATAATGTTGCCTTATTGCTTCACCTAAAGAATATAAAAATATTACTAACACCTTAGTACTTATGTAAGTAGTACTTACACCTTCGTAATAATGCCTGAACTGGGTGCTGATATTCATGTAGCTTTTTTATCATGTCACAAGACATAGTCTGTTCTAATATATTTTGTGACTCCTGGAATTCTAGCATTGATCCAAATCCTTTATTCTGATCCAATCACCCCTATCCTAACATGAGAAGACAGGAAAATATCACTTGTCAGAAAGTCACTGCTGGTGAAAGATAGAGATAGAGAATAATCTTTCCTTTTTTACTTATTCTCTTTTAACATTTCTCAATTCTTGATGAGCCTTATACCAGGCAAAGCCTTGAAACTTTCTCTAACCCTGTGTTATGGCTCAGGTTGTGACTGTAATACCTTTCAGACAAATTATGCCAGGGCCATAAACTTCATCTTGAGCAGACTCTTAAGCATAAAGAGTGGAATCCATTCCGAGACAGAGGGAACTAATATCTCATGACTAGTTAGGTAGTTAGTAGTAAGTATTAGTAAGTAAGTAGTATTAGATAGTAGTAAGGAAGAACCCAAAGAGCTAGAAACCTGCATAAACAAGGGGTGATTGTACTGCATCCTATTTGCTGTCTTCCTCCATTATATGCTTATCACATATCTTGATCTGGTAGGAACAGTTGTGAATTTTTTAACTGCATTCATTGTCCAAGCTATGAATGAATGCCCCATTTTTAATACTTTGAGTGTCCTATTTTTGTAAAAGGATGGATGTCAATAAGGGATGACTCTAGACCAACAGTTCTCAACCTCTTCTATGAAACAACACACTTTTCAGACCGGGAAATATTAGCATCACCCCTGTGCATCCATAGACCCACATACACATTGCATGTCAATTATTGCTAGTTGACCATTTGAATGCACAGAATCACTGAGCTCATTCCATGCATCCTTAAGGTCTAAGTCTGCATTGCATTGCTTTTTCTTAGTCAATGAGATATATTTCTTAGCCTTGATGGAGAGCACATGTCAAGTTGACCCAAGCCCATTTTTCTATTAAAGCTATTTCTTAAAATATGGGTCACCATATTTATTTCCCTTCTATGGGAAATTAAATTTGATTTCATGAAGACCAGTTCATATTTAACCACGCCCTTTAGAGTTTCAAGAGGCAATCACTGCTAATTACGAGTTCATATTACAAATTACTTAATGCAGCACAGGACTAACCAATCTGTGAAGATAATGCCAGCTTTACCTACTGAGCCAAAGCTTGTGAAACATGTCACTTGATTTTTGCAATGTGAAAGATTTGGCTAAAACTTTTTCTCTCCTCAAGTGCTTTCAGTTGCATATGCAGTTCATATGCAGCATATCACTCAAGTCCAACTTTCTTAACCATAAAAGTCAGACCAGGATTAGACAGTCAGATCAACTGAGGCTGAAAGTCAGACTTTCCTAATTCAGGGTTTTCAATAAGACTTTCACAAGTATGTCAGAGGTAAAGAAGTACAACTGGTCCTAGGTTTTGGTCAACTTATGGACAGGGGCTTGAAATTGAATTGAATTGATCCGCCTTTTCTTATCAGCTGGCCCCAGGTATATAGTGGAACAGGCCTATAATAGCTGAGTCTATTATCAAAAAACTCCCTTACCTAGGGGAGAACTAGAAATAGGAAAGCAAGACAAAAAAATTAAGGGATTTTGATGAATAAAGCAATAGACACTAGCCTTAAGCCTAGCTGTTTGGTTAGCGAACGGCAAACTTTCGGACAATCTACAGATATGCAGAGGTGCTAATCCTATTAGTAGGAGATGCCGACATAACAGCCCTTAACCTGCCTAGCCTGTGTTCAAAGGCCTAATATTAGGCTAAATGTCGACATTTAAAAAAGAGGAACAGGTTTAATACTTTTTCAGGCTGAGTTTAAAGGCCTGGCCGTCACGAACCTCGGGGTAATGGGTACGCGTGGCTCAAGTTAAACCTACACCAGCATGACATCGGACTTTGATAAGGTCCCGGAACTTGCGCACGAGGTGGTTCCTACGCGCCTCCATGTTCCTTCCATACACGTCTCACGTGACGTCAATTACCTCGCGCGACTCTATCATGCAGGCCAGCACACACCAAATTCGATCCTTCTCGCGTAGATGCCGCAAGCTACCAAGTCTCAGACGGTGGTCACGAAAGCGTATGCTTTGTATGGTCACTGCACTCCCAGGCAAGACGTTTGGCGGGGCTCGACGGCATCGCTAGATGGCAGCCAGCTAACGTGTCTGAGCAAGCATACGATCCAGGGTATTTCTTTCTCCCAAATTAGTTTCCTTTTATTAGCTACCCTTGACTTCGATCTCCTCGTTGGTCCTATATGGGTAACACGCGACATACTTCATGATCAGAATTTTGACTGAAGCAGCGTTGATGCTGCGAGACCATGGGCATCCGAATGCAGCGTTACATAATCATAACTTCTAACGAACCTTCTGATCTAACGAATATGCACCAGCGTTATCTCTGTTAAATGATTGCATGAACTAAACGAATATCTAGCAAAATATCCCTGAATTCTCCTTGAAAATGTGAATATTATTAGGTATACTTACCGTAACTTACTTCTTACTACTATGTAATAAAATGTTCAGGTTGAATCACTCAGGAAGAACAGCACTCAGAAAGGTACAAGAAACCTCATACACGTCGCACAGAATCTTGTCCTGAAAGAAATTCAGCATCATAGAAAAAACTCACATTTTATACTGTATTTGAAAAGTGTTGCGATAGGCGAAGATCGCAGGCAACAATGAGAGGCAAGCCAACCGAGGACTTAAAAAGGCAAGCCAGCTCTCACGGACGCGCGAACTCAATATCTGACAGAGCCTAATGTTCTTTCCTTATGGGATCTGCTTTCTGACCTTTGGTGATGTCTATTCCAGAAAATGGAGAAGTTTTTTTTAAATATGCGATAGGCTTCTTGTAGAACAAGAGGTTCTATATTAAAAGATTCTAAATTCTTTGTTACTAATTGTCGAACTTGTGTGTGTGTGGGGGGGGGGGGGGGGGGGGGAGGGG